TTCCCATTCTTCTCAGAGTCAGCCACAGTTTGTTATGATCCACACAGTCAAATGCCTTTGCATAGTCAATAAAACACAGATATACATTCTTTTGGTATTCCCTGCTTTCAGCTAAGATCCATCTAACATTAGCTTCAATATCCCTAGTACCTTGACCCCTTCTAAGCCCAGCTTGGACTTCTGGAAGTTCTCTGCTGATGTGTTGTTCCAGTTGTTTTTGGATAACCTTCAGTAGAATCTTGCTTGCATGTGGAATTAATGATATTGTTCTATAGTTTACACACTCTGTTAAATCTAATTAAGTTTTTAAAAGTTTTCTTTTAGCTTAAAGCTTAAAACTCATGTCTAACTGGTTGCTTGACATGTTACTTAGATGTTTAACAGGAATCCCCTCAGCCTGCTTCTCCACCCGCATTGCTCATTTTAGAAATCTGGGAGCTCTTCACTTTTTATTAACTTTTTCTCCTTTACTGTCCCCTATGTGATGTAACTGTATCTAACATATTTTGGGAATTTTATCAGTAGAGTCTAGTTATTGGAAAAAAGACATCATGCTGAGAAAGTTCATAAAAAAGAGGAAGGCCCTCAATGAGATGAATTGATAAAACCATGATGAGTCTAGTTCCAGTGAAGCAATTTGGGTAGAAGTTAGCTGGTGAGTAAAAGTAGTCAGCTGGCTTAGATTTATCTAAGAAACTGGGTTGTAATGGGTAGTGCATAGGTGCAAATTAGCTGAAGAAGAAATAACTAAAAGGTTTGATTTTTTAAAATATGAAAAATAATAAAGCATATTTGAATTTTGTCCAGAGGGTTCTAGGAGAGCAGGAACATGCAAGTGTGACCTCAGAAAGCCCTTGATAAGAGACTGGGAGGGGTCCCAGAACAGAGCTGGTGGAGGGGCTGGCTTTGGAGGAGGAGATGGATGAAGGGAGCAATTGTGCCTGTATCTGGACATTTGATAGTGTCAAAATAGTGCAAAGCCAATTTTCCAAAGAAGTGTGCATTCATTTAATTTTTTTTCATTTCCATATTATTAAGGGCCCATATGAAATATACAAAGTAAAGCACAGTTCAACGTTATTTCTCTCATTCACTGTAAATTAATAATATTTGTACTCTTTAAACTTAACAAGATTTTTAAAAGATCCCTAGGCTAGTTCAGTAGTCTGCAAGTTCCCTACTAAGAGTCAGATTGTATTATACTTGGTATTCCTAGATCCTAGGACTAAGCTGGTCACTTTGCAGGTGAAGAATGTACAAACGAAACAAAGAGTTCCTATTCAAAATGTACCATTAATGCACAGAAACAAAATCATATTTGCAAGAAGGTCGTGCAACCATGCAAGTTGGCTTGTATTAGTTTTAAAATAACCCAAATTGTTTTTAATAGGAGTGAATGTAAACTATATTCTGGGTAACACTGAAGAGACCAGGAGGTGTAAATGCATTACAACATCTTAAACATTTCTAGTGAAAAGTATATTTCTGGCGAAAAGTATTTTCTAATGAAAAATAAAAAATAGAAACAAAAATATAGGTGCATATTATATTGTTGTTATGTACTTTTCAGTCAGAACTGACTTCTAGCTGACACTTCAGTGGGTTTGAGAGGCTATAATTTGCACTGAGGAGATTGCCATCTTTCGTGGAGTAACAAGTAGATTTGAAACATACACCTTTGGGCTGGCAGCATAACTGCTTACCACTAGGCCATTAGAGCTCTACGTGATTAATTATAACTGATAAAGTAGATTATTAGTGTTTAAAATGAAAATGCAAGGAGCTCTGGTGGTCTAGTGGCAAGAAGCTGTACTGCAATCCTAAAGGTATTCCGTTCAAATCCTCCGGATGCTCCACAGAATAAGGAGGGGCAATCTCCTTCTTTGCCAGTTGAATCTTACTAGATGGTACACTACAACAACAAAAAGAAAATTGTTTTGGAAAATAAGAATGTTTAAAATTATTTAGGGTTTTCCAGTAATTCCACTACTTGGAATATACGCCAAAGAAACCATAACCACCACCCAAGCAGATAAATGTTCACCCATGTTTATCGCGGCTTTGTTCACAATAGCAGGGAGCTGGAGACAACCTAAGTGCCCATCAACAAACGAATGGATAGAGAAGCTGTGGTATATTCGCACAATGGAATACTATGCTGCATTGAAAAACAAGAAACTCATGAAATGTTATTCAAAATGGGTGACCCTGGAGGACATTATGCTGAGGGAAATATCTCAAACACAAAAAGACAAATACTGCATAATACTACTGTTGTAAAACGGGACTGGCATCGGGCTTGGGAGGAGACTGAGAAAGATGGGATAAAGAATGTACACTGCATTGAAACAGATGAGGGAGAGAACTGTTTAAAAGAGATATATGATTAGGTATTATTGTCAGGACAGGGGTCCTGAATGAAGGCTGCATAGTAGAGTGATCTTAGGGGGAGAGATTGTATAACAATGAAAGAATTTTTCTTTCACTTTCAAAGAGAAGAATGAACTGGAGGGGAGGAGTGGGCAGAGAGAAAACTGCAACAATGAATGAATGGAAATCGAAAATATAAATTTTCATTAAAATGAATAATAATAGCTATTATTGTTTAGAGTTTTAATACATATCTGTTGGTCTCTTATACCTTAACCACTGTTTCTAATATGTATAATAAAATGATTGTTTTAAAAATAGAGATGTGTGTATTCTGTTTATTTAATGTTTGGTTTTTTCTCTTTGAATGACTATCTGTAAGAATCACTAAATCATCTGTAACATCCAAATCATGATTCAGGAAATAATTTCTTGTATGTGAATTATTTGGATTATTTGCTTCCTTCTTTATAACAAGTGTAAACTTTCTGCCTCATTGTCTTGTCTAAACATCTCTCAATAGAGGAAATGCAGGACCAGGAACTGAAGGAACTCATTAATAAGTCTCTAGTACCAAGTTAATCAGTTAGTAGTTCAGATAAAACAGTCACAGGAAAGAGGCCAAAATAATGACTAAAATTATTGGTGATGATAATGTATGGAAATAATCTGTAGCCCCATGATATTCACTGTTATGAATCATTGAAGTCGTGAACAAATTAGGTATTGACTTCTGTATGAAAGTTTGGAAATTCTCTTCCTTCCTGTCACTTCACTCTCAATCATCTCTCTCTCTCTTCACACACACACACACACACACACACACACACACTCCATCTGAGAAATATATGCATGAAATATGTCGCTCGAGTAACAGTGTTCTTACCATTTGCTATGTAACCAGGTACATACATAGCGTGACTTCCTGGAATAGAATGGGCTTCTTGGGTGTTTATCCTGTGAGACTGGTAGACATGCACTTTCAAGTTGTATCTACCAGTTACAGCAAAGGAGAAAAAATACCTCGAGTAAATCCCATCATTTTTTATAACATCAGCACCTGAATATTAAAAAAAAAAACCAAAACAGCCCAATGTTATTATTTTGGTAGTTGATTTCATTAAATCAGTATTTAATCAAGCCTTTAAGACTAAGATTTATCTCTTATTCTTTCCATTTTAGAATATTCTCCTTTAAATTCCTTTTTAATATTATCAAGTTATTAAAAGTCTAGGGATTCCATAATTTGTGTCTGTGATACATTAACTTCTGGAAAATTATTTTTTGAGAGGTGAATCGATGCTGCCTCACTGCTAATACAACTCTTACTAATCATCTTTTAAGTTCTCAGCCCTGGTATTGAAATTAATATTTATTATTTTATTAGAAAAACTAGTTACATTCTTAAGCTTATTTATTATCACAGTTGTAGCTTTTGATCACCTGAAACTCATAGCAACCCAATGTACAACAGCTCTGAATCCTGCCTTATCCTGAGACTGTCTCACTCTCTCAGACTCACCTACCTTCATTACCCTAGTTACTGTGTCAGTTCAGCTCCACCAGGATCTTTTTCTCTTGTGCTGTCTATCCACCCTTCCAACCATGATATCCTTCACTAAGGATTGGTTCCTCATGGTCACAGGCCCAATATATGTAAACAGAGCTTTAAATCCTTGCCTCTAAGGAATAGGTTGGTTTACCCCCTCCAGGACAGAATTGTTTCTTCTCTTGCCAATCCATGATATGTTCAATACCCTTCTCCATCACCACAACTCAAAGGCATAGATTCTTCTTATACCAGCATCAATCATTGTGCAGCTCTCTGATGCATAGCAAGTAATTGTGAAGATCATAGCTTGAATCAGGCTCACCTTAGTCTCGAGACTGACATCATTGCTCTTTAGCATTTTGGATAGGTCCTTGACCTCTCAGCAGATTTTACTAATGCAATTAGTCTTTTTATTTCCTGACTGTTGGTGCCCAGAGTGTTGATTTTGGAGCCACGCAAGTTGAAATTGTTAACAATCTCAATCTGTTCACTCTGTCTATCATGATGCTGCCTATGAGCCCACAGGTGAGGATTTTTGTTTTGCTGATATTGAGACATAATCCATATTGAAGATTGTCATTTTTGTTCTTCTGCAGTAAATATTTCAGATCCTTTACACTTTCAGCAAGCAAGACTGTGGTATTTGCAAAAAGCAGGTTGTTGATGAGTCTTCCTCAATCCAGTTGCGACATTCCCCTCATAAAGTTCAGCTTCCTGAATAATGTGTTCTGCACACAGATTGAAAAGGTATGGAAAAGAATACAGCCGAGATGCACAACTTTCTTGCAAGTTGAATAGTGTGAGACTATATGCTCATGAAAGAAACTGTAATTATTCTAGAGTTTAAGGGGTTTGCTGATTTGCAGATTAACAGGTTTGAGTTCCATCCATTTTTGCCTAAGCAAGCATTCTGAAAGCTTGACTGGTGATAGAATGCATTTTGTTCTATTAACATGCAAACCCACTTTTATTAAGTCAATTTGATTCATAACAATCCTCTTTCTCCTGTGGCACATATGGTGGATTTGAATCACCCATCTTATAGTTAGTAGCTAGACGTTTAACGCACCATGCCACTGGAGACCATTAAAGCAGTTCAATTCCAAGCAAAATTAGTGACTTAGTAGAGGGCAGCTAGGGGAGGTCCAGACTCACTCAAATTCAGATCACATTCACCCTTGAGTTCAGGAGGTCATATTGGGAAGTAATTCATCTTAAGAGTTCCATTAAGTTTACACACCATACTTCTCTTATATCAGCATTCCTTCCCCATGTTTTGGCTTCTTTTTGTTCCAATACAAGTTTCAGCATCTCTGCTGACATCTTTTTGGTCTTTTATTTATTCTTTGTCTTTGTAAGAATCTTTAGCTTTCTTCATCGATGATGTCTTTGTTGCTATTCCAGAACTCCTCTGGTTTTCTAACTTTAATGCTCCTATTCTTGAATTCAGTTAGAATACACTCAAGGCCGTATTTCAGTTTTTGTTGACTTATTTTCATTTTCTCAATTTGAGCTTGTATATGAGTAATTGATGATACATTTCACAATTAGTTGTGGCCTGGTTTTGATTATTAATATTGAGTTTCTCCACCATATCCCCCTCAGATGTAGTCAATCTGAATCAGGTGAATTCCATGTGTATAGTCACTGTTTATTGTATTTTTTTAAATTGCAATAAATTAAACATTCGTTGTACAACATTCTATCCTCTCCTACCTCATTTCTAGCACTAAGGCCATATTTTCAACTACTAATCCTCCTATATTTCTTTTCTTTCTTTCTTTTTTCTAAAAAAAAATCCTCCTATGTTTCTAATGTGTACTTTCCAGTCACTAATTATTACTTCATCCTGATTATATGTTTAACTAATATCAGACTACAAACATTGTTAGAAATTCTGTTTCTTTATCTGTCATGGTTAGTGTGTATATCTGAAAAAAAAACTGCATGAATAGAACTTTGTTGTATGCATATGGTTCACGGATAACAACAACCTATCACTCACAGCATTGTACTTTAGGGTACATTTTGAAATACTCTACTTGAGGATGACTGCCACAGTATTCTTCTTCAATTTGTCAGTTCTGGTATAGTAGATCATGTGATTGTCTGATTCAAAATGGCCTATGCAGCTCACGATAGCCTAGGATTTCATTTGTGACAACTTCTAATTTCTTTAGATTGTACATTCCATGTTTCAATTATTAAAGGATGTCTGCAACTCCTTCTCCTTTTGAGTCTTACCACATCATTAAATGAAGGTTCGTCGTTGGATGAGAGCTTTACTCCATCTGCATCACTATAGTTGGCTTTACTTTGAGGAAGTAACTCTTCCTCAGTTGCACTTTTTAGTGACTTCCAACCTGAGGGGCTCATCTTCCAGCACTATCAATGTTCTTCCATAATCCCATAGGGTTTTCAAAGGCCTGCTATTTAAGATGAGGACGCCCAGTCCTGCTTCTTAGTCTGTCTTGGTCTGGAAGCTCCATTGGAACCTGTCCACCATGGATATCCCTGCTGCTGTTTGAAATACTCGTTCCATAGTTTCCGGTGTCACAGGAACACACAAGCCACCAAAGTACAGCAGCCTGTCAGTTGAGTTGTTCTCTAGGTTCCCTATTATCTTTCTCTAGAGCAGGACACATTAGCATGAGAAAAGCAAAAGCATATGCAATTGAAGGGAAAACGATGCTTTCCATTATCAAGTATATTTTTTGCTGTTTTTGTTAATGCTATAAAGTGTGCCTGATATGGGCCACGTGCTTCACAATTACTTGCTATACTGAATTCAGAGATAACTATGAGTGATAGAAGATCGATGCTTTGGGTTGTGGTGTTAGAGAATAGTGTTGAACATACCATGGGATGCCAGGAAAACAAACAAGGCAAGGATTTTGCAGCTCTGTCTCACATACTTTGGGCACATAGCCAGGAGGGACCAGTTCTTGGAAGGACATTACACTTGGAAGAGTGGAGGGAGCGTGCAAGAGAGGAAGACACTGGATGAAACGGGTTGGCTCAAGTGACTGGAGAAATGGATTTGTTGGTCTGTCAGAGATGATGAGATTGGCTCAAGATAGGACAAGGTTCATAGCTAATGTACAGAGGGGTCACTATGAGTTGCAGGTGACTCAATGGCACATAACAATAACAACAACAATATTGGAAAGAAATAAAATCTTGATGTTTAGTGTAATGGGTAACTAACTAGATGATTTATCTTTATTGAAAAATGGCAACTCTCTCCCCTACAAACTAGAAAGATCTCCATGCCACAGTTACTCACTATGACCTCTTTTAATCACTGAAGCAGAAAAAACTAGAAAGGAAAATTTGTTTGAAAGTAAAGAGATTTAGTTTTAATGTGTTGGCTAGCTGTGAAACTCAATCTTGCTGAGCTTTAGTTTTCTCATCTTTAAACTGAGGATAACTTATTGCAGAGTGTTTTTATAATGACAATTTTAGATTTAGAAAGCATATTTTAAATTGCAAAATATTTTATCAGAATCTATTTTCTTATTGTTCTTTTATTTATCTATCAAAGACTGCTTCCATTATAAAAGTATGCTTAAACAGACATGCATTTGTGTTTAATTATTGGAAAGATTAAATTTATGCTTTGATGCCTAAGAAATAATTTTCATTAATTCTTTTACTAGAGTATAAATTTAACCAGAAAAAATAAATGAAATGTTTCCAGAGAATAAATATAAAAGCTCTTTGAGTTGAATCCTAGGACAGCAAGCATCTGTTCTCCAGGCCCGCCCACAGGCAAGGGCAAAACAGAAAAATATTTTACAAATTGCATTTTTGGACTATACTCAACAAAATAAGAGGTAGGGCCATGGATAAGCAATCAAAACATGAAATGTTCACTTGGATCTGTTCTGATTAGAAATAAGCCAAACAATAAAACTGTTGGTTTCTTTTTCCTTTTATCTGGCTTCCTCCGAGGTAGACTTGAACTAGATATTCTTTGAATGAACTTTAAATGGTCTTTGAAACAACAGGACAGAAGAATATGATTTTACCAGTAGATCAAACCTTTGTGTCTGCCAATGTAGTTTTTACAGTCTGTTGATATTCTGCGAATTTAATTTAGGGAAAGACCAGAACTGGAAACGTACCAACAAAAGCCCTTTGTGCTCTTAGAAGTCAATGTTAGTCAGAAAGGGTCTGATTGTTTGAGCTGCTGCTGCTGCTGTGCTGTCCATAATGCTGAAAGATGGGGCTCTGGACTCCGTACATGCAAAGTTAGTGCTTTGAAGTAGGTTTCTGTGTTGTTGTTTTCACAGTGGTGGAGAATTAGAGAATTGTCCTTAGCCTACTAGGCTTACTGGCATGTTCTTGTGACCAGATCTCACATCAAAAGGGCATTGTTTGGTGCTAAAGATGGAGTTGTGTCTTCTCTTCAGCTCAACTATTTGGCTCAAGAAGTTTCAGGTCCAATACTTTTCCATAGTTCATAGGAAAAGGTTATGATCACTGGCACTGCAGCTCCTACATTAGAATTTCATTTGTTTATTTTAACATGCAGTGTTGCCCTGCTCTGTTCTGACTACTGCCCCTTGGTCCAAGTATAGGTTTCGCATTAGCACGATTAAATGTTCTGGGATTCCCATTCTTCTCAGAGTCAGCCACAGTTTGTTATGATCCACACAGCCAAATGCCTTTGCATAATCAATGAAACACAGATAGACATTCTTCTGGTATTCTCTGATTTCAGCTAAGATCCATCTAACATCAGCTACAATATCCCTAGTACCACAACCCCTTCTAAACCCAGCCTGGACTCCTGGCAGTTCTCTGCTGATGTACTGTTCCAGTAGTTTTTGGGTAATCTTCAGTAGAACCTTGCTTGCATGTGAAATCAATGATATTGTTCTGTAGTTTTCACACTCAGTTGGGTCGCCCTTCTTTGGTATGGGAACAAATATAGACCTCTTCCAGTCAGTTGGCCAAGTGGTTGTTCTCCAGATTTCTTGGCACACCAATCGGTAGCATCAGGATGGATGGCGAGGAGATTGAGATTGTTCACAGCTTCAGTTTGCTCGGCTCCATGGTCAACACTCTTGGCACCAGTAGCCAGGAAATAAAAAAACGTATTGTGATGGGAAAGTCTGCAGTTAGGAACTTCTCTAAAGTACTCAAGAGCAACGGTGTCTCTCTGGAGACTAAGGTGCACCTGATACAGGCCATGGTTTTTGCAATCACTTGTTATGCACCAGAAAGTTGGACAATGACTAGGGAGGATAGAAGGAGAATTGACGCCTTTGATCTGTGGTGCTGGAGAAGAATGTTGAATGTACCATGGACTGCCAAGAAAACAAACAGATTCATTGTAGAGAGGGTTAAACAAGGCTGCTCCTTGGAGGCAAGGATTTTGGGGCTTTGCCTGACATACTTTGGACATGTTGTAAGGAGAGACAAGTCCTTAGAGAGGGACATCATGCTGGGTAAAGTAGAGGGACAGCGCAGGAGGGGAAGACCCTCTATGAGGTGGATTGATTTAGTGACTAGGGTAATCGGGATGGGTGTGTCAGAGGCAATGAGATTGACACAGGATAGAGCAGGGTTTAGGGCTGTTGTACATAGGGTCGCTATGAGTCGCAAATGACTCGACGACACATAACAACAACAACAACAACAATTTTAACATGCAGCCTGATTATGTCAATGAGTAGTACATATATGTTAGAGGAATACTGACATGCTGGAGGACATATAAGCATGTTCCCGTCTAACCTCACTGAGTGAGATTGGCCAATGTCACATGTCCAAATGACCAAGTATAAGTTAAGGCTGAGAAGTCAAGCAGCTTCCTACTACCCTCCTGCTGTTATCCAACCTCCTTGTAAAAGCAGAAAACTCCAAACTTGCTACCATTATGTTAACTCAAACTCACAGCAACACCTCCTTCTCCAATTAGGTTTCTGAAGCTACAGGAAAAGCTCTCTTCCCTTTATGGGAAGGCACTCTCTTGATTTCTCTCTTCAGGAAGAGACTGCTTTATCTTTCTCTTGAGGAACAGCTGGTAGATTTGAATTACCAATATTTGCATTAGCCGTGCAATACAGACCCACTATACAACCAAAGCTTATTTCTATTGCAGCCACACTTGTTGTTGTTGTTGGTTGCCATCGAGTTGAGCTTGACTCATAACCACCCTAAGAACAAAAGGCCTGAAGCTTTTCTATAACTATCATCATTTCTCCAAGTTTTTAGAGTTTCTAGAGGCATGTGTTTTCAGAAGTGAATGCCACTTCTGCTTCCAAACCTGTCTTAAACGGGGAGCTCTTCCAAACACTGTCCACCATGGGCACCTGTTATGGCATGTGACACCCCAATGACACAAGATTCAGCATCACAGCAAACCTAGATTATTAACTCAGTACAGCAAATTGACAGAAGAGTGCTATACATACAACTTAGAAGAAAGTTCCTCTAAAATATAATAACACTGATAGTCGCCCTTACATGATGATTTTGAGAACATGAAAAACATGACATTCCTTCTTACCTGCTCCATTATCAAGAAGTTTCAGTGTCACAGGCTCTCCAGTCTCTGGCTCAATTGTAGCCGTTACAGTGGCATTAAGGATGGGATAAAACCCCTTTCTAACATTTGCATAAATCATCACTGGATTGGGAAAGTGGGTGCTCTCTCTTTCCACATACGCTTCCACAGTGGCCGGTGGTACGGTGGGGCTGGAGGCTTGAGAAGTCACAGTCATTTTCAAAGCTTGAGGAGAATTGTGGGTATTGTTCAGTGTGTAAGTCCAGTTCCCAGGCTGCAAAACAAAAGCTCTCTGTTTTTTGAGGTATGAAGGGAGTGGGGAATATATATCTTTAACTAACTTAAAAACATAAATCTAGCTATCTAGTGTTTTTGTGTCATTGTTTTTTAAATTTATTGATGTTGCACTTTTTCATACTATGAAAGAATGTCAGGAAAAATAATATTGGCTAAGGGATAACTAAATCAGTATTTCTGTAAATTTCACAACAAAATGCAGTTTGTTAAGTAACTCATTAGAGAATTACATCATGGATTTATTTGCATATAGGGTCAGATTGTGGTTTTAACTCTGAGAAGACAATGATAATGGTGCCAAGCTTCAAAGAACAAATAATTAACAACGAAAGTGACACCTTTCTGTTGTGCGAAACCACTAGCATCTCTGAGCAGAAGGGTAGGCAATCTCTTCCTGTGTCTTTTACAGCCTCTGAAACCCATTGGAAGGTGAACTTTGAGTTGGTTCCTACTCAAGGGAATGACTTTAAGGTTTTGTTTCAGTTGTAACAAGAGAAAACAAACAAACCTCAAACTCCCTGTTGTCGAGTGTATTCTGATTCCTGCCATTGAGTCTATTCTGAGTCATAATGATCCTCCATCACTTTCCAAGACTGTAAATCTTAACCAGGTAAAACTTCACACCTTTCTCCCAAGAAGCCACTGGTGGAGTCAAATGATTGGAAATACATGGCCTTTCTGTTAGTGGTATAATATGCTACAGCCCATACCACCAGAGCTCCTTAAGCTTCTAAATGCTATGCAGATATTAATTGAACCATTTCACCCAAATGGAGGTTTTAAATTTTTGGTTTTTTTCAGGAAAAGAGAGGATAATATCCTATTAAATCAATCATTTTGTTTACATGGATATCTCAGACTAAAAAGGTAACAATATTCTTCTTTTCCTTTGCCTGTTGTAACCTTTCCCTTTGCATTCATTTATTCCAGAAGTATCAAGCAACAGTAACAACATACACTATTAGCAGCCATTGTGGAGTGGTGGAACCTGTATTTAGTTCACTTTTATAAAAGGACACTGAGGTGGAACTAACTTACTGACACCTCACAGCAACAATTTGTTTCTTGTGTAGGTTTCAGTTTAAAAGTTCTATGAATAACATAAGAACAATAACTAAGAATCAAGAAAAGAACACAACAGTTTTAATCAGCTGAGATGCTACAATATCTGTGTGGAGTAGCTTGTATAAATACTGCTAAACATCACTCTCTCACCTCTGTTGACTGCTTAGGGAAACATACAAAAGAACATCTAAAACAAAAAAGTTAAATCTATGAAGTAGCAGAAATTTATTATCTTGATTAACCTATATAGATATTAACTTTTTCCTATCATTCTTGATCTTTAATTAGATGCTAAAAGTATTAAGAGGGACACATCATAGTAAGGAACACAACAGGGCGAGAGCATGGAGGACCTGGTGTGTAATAATAACCAGTTGGAATAATGAAGGTAAAAATATGAATGATGAAAGTATGACACAGTAAGTAGAGGTAAAATGCCACCTTGACCTCTTTTTTCCTCCCACAATTTTAAAGTTATAATTCAAGGATCAAGATGATTCGTCTATTGTTGTTGTTAAGGTGTTAAGTGCTGTTGAGTTGTAGACGACTCATAACAACCCTATGAATGAAAGACCTGAACACTTGGATAATTTTCATCATTTCTCTACGTTCACATAGTTTCCGGAGGCAAGCTTTATCAGAAGTAGATGCCATTCCTACTTCCAAGCTTGTTTTAATTGGGGAGCTCCACCAAACACAGTTCATCATGGGTAACCATTATTGTATTTGACACATCAGCGTTTAGCATCACAGCAACCATGAGTTACCTCTGTACAGCAAATGGACAGACCAGTGCTATACTACTTAGAAGAATGTTTCACAAAAAAACAATTAAAACCACGTCTGAGGAAAGCAGATTAAAATCACCCATCTTTGGCTTGGTAGCATCACTTCCTGTCCACTAGGCCAACTGAGCTTTCTCGTTGTTGTTGTTGTTGTTGTTAATTGCCATCGAGTCATAGATGACTCATAGAGACTCTATGAATGAAAGACCTGAACACTTATATAACTTTCATCATTTTTCCAAATTCGTGTATTACCTTTTTGTAATCACATTCGTCACAGACACATGGAATTCTCCACATCAAAAACTTCTCTTCAGGTATACTGGGTGTATTAATAATCAGACACCTAACCTACTCTAAGGAGGTAGGCAGAGGGAGCAAGAATTAGGTTAAATGTTTCTGACTTTTGAAAACAGCTGTGAAAGAGCATGGTGGGTTTGAAGAAAAGTTCAGCAGAAACTTTTGGTAACAGAAGCTCTATTACTTGAGTAATTGGAAGTTGTGAAGGTACAAGCCATCACAGCATTGCATTGCATTGACAACACAAAAGTGGCGCCACCCTGGGGGTTCAAACCCTTTGGTGACTCTGAGAGAGAAAGATGGGTAATATTATCCCAAAGGATTTACAGCTTCTTAGAATCTACTGTAGTGTTATCTATGAGTCAGACCTAACTTGATAGCAATGACAGAGAGACAGATTGTAACATGCCTTTCTAACAGTGTAGGAGGACACAAAGTCAGGGAAACTTACAAAACAGAAATCCAAGTCAACCTTTATCTCATGTTTGAAACTTACTTAAATTCCAAGAATAAGTGGGGCATTGAGGATTAAGAAATAAGCTTGACTAGATATCAAAACATGAAGGACCTAATATGTAATAGAAACCGGTTGGACTTTAATCTGAAGCCATCAAAGACCTTGGACTTGGATATATACTTGATCAGATTTGTGTTTTAAATGGATCACTGGTAAAATGAAGATTGGCTGGAAGGGCAGTCAGGATGTCAGTCATGATTTAGGGGTTGTTGTTGTTTCTATGTGCTGTCCAGTCGACTCTGACTCATAGCATAGATTTGGTCAAATCTGTTTAGAAACTTTAGTAATTTTCCTTTGCCTTTAGATTTCAAGTCCCTGATTTGTTTTTCTGGCCTACATCCTTTACAAATTTCATATAGATACATTTGTCTCTATGCTTAGGAAAAACTTAATTTTAACTTTTAACTTTATTTGCAAAGCTCTTACTGACATGGCTCCTGTATATCTCTTAAGCCTCATAACTCTATGTTCCTTCCTTCCCTCATAGCCGGGTCAGAACTGACTCATAGCTGACCCTCTAGTGGGTTTTCAAAGGCAGTAAATCATGTTGCAGGAGGATGCCCATCTTTCTCCAGCAATATTGCACTACTTACAGCTTAATAAACAGCTGTGTTCTTTTCCTCTGAACCTTTCTGTGTACTATTTTCTCTTTCAGAGCCCCATACACATCTTACTGCCCCTTTATCTTCCATCTTTCTATTCCATTGTCTTCATTTCCAGAAAGAATTTACCTGGACCCATTTCCTAACCCAGTACCCCTCCTATATGGTCTATACTTGGGTACCCTGGCCTTGATCTATCTTATCATGATATTTTTGTATAAAGTACTTAGAAAAGGTCCAGCATTAATGGATGCTCAAAGAGACTATGTGTGCATGTATATATAAATGTAAACATGCGGATTAAAAAAAACACAAAACACCAACTCATGAACAGGTTTGAGGCCTTGAACACTAATGAACGCAGACAAAATATCATCCATGAAGAGTGTAAACGGTCATTACAAAGAAGGAAAAAGAAGAAAAGACCAAAATGAGTATCAGAAAAGACTCTGAATATTGCACTAGAATGCTGAGAAGCAAAAGCAACGGGAAGAAATCAGGAAGTTAAGGAGCTGAATAGAAGATTTCAAAGGTTGCTTGGGAAGACAAAGCAAAATATTATCATGAAATGTGCAAGGAGCTGGAGTCAGAAAATCAAAAGGGCCGAACTCACTCAGCATTTCTTAAGCTGAAAGAACTAAAGAATAAATTAAAGCCACAAGTTGCAATGCTTAAGGGGCAGAATATTGAATGATTCAAGAAGCATTAAAAGCAGATAGGAGTATACAGAGTCATTGTACAAAAAAATACTTTGCTGACACAGAAGAATTCCAAGAAACATCATGTGATCAAGAGGCTATAGTGATGAAGGAGGAAGTGCAGGCTGCTTGGAAGGACTTGGCAAAATATAAAATTAAAAAATAAAGCACCAAGAATTGATGGAATACAAATTGATGTATTTCAAGAAATAGATGCTGTGCTCACCAAGTTGTGTCAAGAAATATGAAGGACAACTACTTGGCCAACTGATTAGAAGAGATCCATATTTATTTCCATGAAAAAAAAAAAAGGTGACCCGACAGAGTGTGAAAATTATTGAACAATATTACTACTATAACACACTAGCAAAATTTTCCTGAAGATTATCCAGAAAAGACTTGAACAGTGCATTGCCAGAGAACCAGAACTAAAAAAAAAAATTATTTGTATGGCATAAATATTGTTTTCCATTGTAAAGTGAGAATGATTTGATACTGTTCAAAGAGTCAAACATGGGGTGCTCTGGTGACCTAGTGGCAAGAAGCTGCACTGGAATCCCAGAAGTGTGTAGTTCAAATCCCTATATGCTCTGCTGGAGAAAGAGGGACAATCTCTTCCTGTACCAGTCAGATCTGATTTAACAGTACACACAACAAAATAATAGAATTTTAAAAAAATTTTAAAAAAAGTGTCAAACATGCGCATGGTCACAAAACCCACCTTGGCAGTTCCTGGGATGGACAGGTGAGCAGTCTGCAAATCCAGGTTGTGGGTAAAATTATTTGTGTTGTATTTTCTTCCCTCAGGATCAGACAATACAATCTCCGGGGGACCATTAGTCTGCCACGTGACGAGAAAGGCGGTGTCATTGCCCACGCCATTTTCCACAGTGACCGTGCTTTTTAGTTGGTGATGAGGCTTAACAATTTCACCAGTGCTCTCTAGCTGTAAAGCAGAATACATAGTGAAACCTCCTAGAATACTCATAGTAATTTTCTTTTTCATCAGTTTAATGGCATATAAAAGTTAATTAGTAAATAAAAATGTTATTTATTTAAGCACAAAAAACTCTCTCTCTCTCTCTCTGTGTGTGTGTGTGTAAGTTATATGGATGGAATGTAACCCTCGACCTGTTACTGGGTTAAATGCTTTGTATGTTTGTTGTTGTTATGTGCCGTCGAGTAGCTTGCGACTCATAGCGACCCTATGTACAACAGCCTTAAACTCCGCTCTGACCTGTGCCAATCGCACTGTCTTTGACACTCCCACCCCTATTATCCCAGTCACTGAATCAATCCACCTCATAGAGGGCCTTCCCCTCTTGCACTGTCCATCCACCCTACCAAGCATGATGTCCCTCTGCAAGGACTGGTCTCTCCTCACAACATGTCCAAAGTATGTTAAATGGAGCCTCAGAATCCTTGCCTCCAAGAAGCCGCCCGATTTGAACCTTTCCAGGATGAATCTGTGTGTTTTCCTAGCAGTTCATGGTACCCTCAATACTCTTCTCCAGCACCACAGCTCAAAGGCATCAATTCTCCTTCTATCCTCCTTGGTCATTGTCCAACTCTCTGATGCATAACAAGTGATTGCGAAGACCATGGCCTGTATCAGACGCACCTTAGTCTCCAGAGAGACTCCATTGCTCTTCAGTACTTTGGAGAGGTCCCCAACAGCAGACTTTCCCATGGCAATGTGCCTTTAAATTTCCTGGCTGCTGGTGCCTAGACTGTTGACTATGGAGCCAAGCAAACTAAAGCTGTGTATAAAGTTACCTAAATCCTTAAAATCCACTGTGAGATAAGTACCATTGTTACCTATTATTTGCAGATGACAAGACTGTGGCTTAGGGAAGTAATTCCTCTGATGTCACCAGTAGAACTGGAATGAGCTGAGGCTGGAATTCATTTCATTACTGTCCATTCCCATTGGACATGTGTATAAGCAATTTAGAAAATGAAATGTATTCATTAACACAAGTAACAGGTCTTAAGGGTGCTCATAAGTGGAAAATGTATCAAGTTATGTTTGTGAATAATAGAAAGACCTGGTGTAATATTTGTCCCAATCAAGTGGACAAATGTTTGTGGATATACTTGTTCTACAACTCTGCCACATTTTGTGCTGGACTCAGGGTTTGGTCCTGGGCTCCACCCTTAGTCTGAGGAGTTAATGGCATGCAAACAACTCAGAGGAAGTGACTATATTCAAGAATATCAGACAAGTTGTTTTGGGCCTATATGAATAATATTTTATATAAAAATATTTTTATGTGGACTATCATTCCATATTAGTAAAAGAGGAAAGTATAGAGTAGAAAGATTACTTAGAATTATTAGCAAAAACAAGGCGCCACCTGTAATCTAATCTTGAGAACATACTGTCATTTATCATTTACACTTTCTCACCACTAATGATGAAACTGTGGTTACTACCTTGCCATGTCAACATAATCTTTGTGTTAAATATTTTCTGACACTAATTTACTGACTCCATTGTACACAGAAAACCTTTAACTTGGCAGGTTCATTTACCATCTGTAAGGAAGCTGCAGGTGAAATTTTGTTCAAAGTGTTGTTCAGTTATATTAAAAATATTTTACAGTCTAAATTTTTTTTTATAGTCTAAATTTAAGGGCAGCCAATACTCTTTTAAAAAATTGTCTTAATTAGTGGAAGCTTCTGTGAGCAAAATTGTGGAAACTGAAGGGATATTTTTGAAATTTTTAGAGTTTAATAAACTAGTATTCCTTATGCAAGAAAGGAAATACAGAAATGTTAAAGAAGTAGGATAAAAGTAATTCTGAATGATGAAAAGTTATTATTGAACTAAAGCCAAACTGATCTTGTTATTGTTTTTACATGCCACCATGACTCATAGATCCTATAAACATCAGATCTGCACCTTGAGGGCAGGATAGGGACCTGCACCATCCTCATGATATCCAAAATGCATGAGCCCCTTAGTGGAGTAATATACTGGAGCACCTTATTGCAGTAACAGTGTAACTTGTGGAAACACTTCCTTTCTTTCATTTTCCCCTCTACCTTCCTGAGCATGATGTCTTTTCCAAGAACTGGTGTCTCCTTATATCATCCCCAATTACATGAAACAAAGTTTTACTCTTCTTGCTTCTAACGAGCACCTTAGTTTTATTTCTCCTAAGACAAACTTGTTTGTTCTTTTGGCAGTCCTTGGCATAGTCAGTACTCTTCTTCAATATTACAATTCAATGGCATTAATGAATCTTCTCATTATTCATATTCATTGGCCAACTTTCAGATTAAATAAGTAGTTTATCATTTTTATTTTTACTCTCCATCTCCACTCTCATTTAACAAAAGAGAAGGAAGCAAGCTCTACTTACAGAGCTTTGAACATTATCAATAGTGATTATATAAAATATAGGACTAAGAAATAGCAAGTCAGTGGCCATCAAGTCATTTCTTACTCATGGTGACCGCTACGCGTTGGAGTAGAACTGGGCTCTGAAGGGTTTTCAGTGGCTGAGTTTTCAAATTAGATCATCAGGACTTTCTTCAGAGGTTCCTCTGGGTGGCCTCAGGCCTTCAACCTTTTGGTGAGTAACCAAAACGAAAATAATTTGCACCACTCAGGGATTTCTAAGAACTGTAGAATTGAGTAGAAATGAAGTGGGTTCTGATAATAAGAAGCTTATTAATAGCCTTTCACACACTGACTTATAGAGTCTAATAAGGCTAATGAGGCAGTTAGCATAATCTCTTAACTTTACCCACACTTTCCCGGCCCATCAAGGTGATCTGACCTGAATACATTGCTGAAAAATGTCTCCGGTTCCAGAGGAAATTCTACTGAAGGCATCAATGATGCTGTTAGAGCTTGACTTATCTGGAACAAAGAACTTTAAACCTCCTGAAATACATAATAGAGATGTTAGCTAATAAAAACGAAGATATAAAAGAAAACAGAAAAAAAAATTATTAGATCTTTGTCGAAACTTTTCTGTTAGACCGTCAGGTTTTTCTGCAGGATGGGGTAAGAGTTGTGTTTGTCCAGTTAATTCAATGGCATCCTGTTCAACTGTGTGGTCAGTACCACCAATGATGTAGTTTTGTTGTTCTGCTCAGGGTTATACTATCAAAGCCCAGAATGATACCTTGTAAGTGAGAGGAACTCAATAAATATTTAGAAGTCTTGTAATTGATGGAAATTCCTAGATCACCTACTAGGCTCATTGTTATCAATTGTTTTCAGAAACAAATTTTAAAAGTTAACTTGCAGAGTTGCATCTACTTCCTAAACAACATGCATTCAGAAACTCTATGAACTTTTATAAATGTCGATAGTTGTAGCTTCAGGCCTTTTGTTCATAGGGTCACTATGAGTCTTGCTTGACTTGAAGGCAATCAACAACAACAACAACAACATAAAGAATGTAAGATGAAATCATTCCATGTTGCAGAACGTTGGAAAGGAAGGGAGTGTTTCTGGCCAGGACAGATCGTCTGAGCTCCAGACAGGTGCAAGCCTCCCAACACCCTTTAATGTGGGGTAGAGAAAGCTCCCCTGTGTTTGGCTGTACTTGATTGAGAAAGCTTGCCAGCTGGGAAAATGGCTACCATGTTTGTTGAGCTGGGAGTGATCTGCACGAGGCTGAGGTTCTCCTGATCAATCGGCATGTCCCACGTCTGTAAGCCCACCCTATCCTGTTTTCCTGTGTATATAAGTGCAGTGCTTATCCTAATAAAACTGAGCTGGATTGACTCTCTAATCCTCTCCCATAGTGGTGGATCTCTGTTGTGCTTACTCCCATCAGGTTGTTGCTGTCAAGTTGCTGGTGAACTGACAGGGACAATTCCATCTATATGTTTGGAATGGTCTAGGGGGAAAGTAAAAAAAAAAAAAAATCACACAAACAAAATAAAAAACCCTGAACAGACTGTCACAATTTTTGTCAATGTTTTTTTGTTTATTTTATTTTAGAAAACTGTGTGTTATTCAATTATGTTATCATATTTTCATTTTGCATATTCAAACTAAAAAGAAATGCTCTAAAAGAGAAGATTTTTGTAGGCATTTCTTTACCCGTGAGATGTGATAATTCCTCCAGGTTTCCAGCCGCAGATGAGCCCAGGGTGATAGAATGAATGGTCGAGCCACTGTTCAGCACTGTGAGTAGGCAGTTGTTTATGTGTTCATCATCTCCACTGGTCACTAGTATCATCACAGAGCCATGTGCTTTTCCATTCAGTTTTTCAACCACCTGGACACGGAGTCAGCCATACTAAAGTAAATGTTATTCAAATTGTTTTATGCAGCAGAAAAGTTGCTCTCATTCCGAACACCCCACCCTTAGGACACGTAACTCTTTTAACATAACTCTGCAGCTTCCTGTATTCCTCATCATCCCCACTCGGTTATGACCATACTCTACTACAGCTCTGTCACTCTACATGCCTCTACTATGTCTGAGGAAGAACTCTTCCTATTTAATTGCCATGATATGCTAGTAGTTTAGATTAGTGTCCATAAAGATAGTGGGTTATTTTGTGGGTTAAAGGGCAACAGTCCTAGAACTATTTTGACAAATTCTGGATCAACCACTCAGTGTTGGCTACACACTAAAATCAGATGAGGAGCCTTATCCTGGAGTAATTAAATTAGAATTGTTAGGAGTAAGACCCAGGATTAGTTTTAGCCTCATGTGATTTTACTGGGCATCAAGGTTGAGATGGACTTGCCTATAACCAGCAATAACTGCAGCTGATAGGTCTTGCTAGCTATTGGATGACTGGTGTATGTCTGTATTCTAGATGCTGACTCTAAACTTGTCTTGATTTGAGTGAATTCTGTACTTGCTGAAACATGCCACTGCCTTTAGTTGACTCTGATTTGCTTGAGGTCTGTCATACAAGCAAAATTATAGACAGGTGCCAGACCTGTCTGTTTGGACTGGAAAACTCAAAAATATCACTAGACACAGCTGCAACAGCCTCAGCATGGATTAATTTTCAGAAAATTCCCAGATGATGTCAAAACCCTCCAGTCTTGGTCATTATGTTAATTTATTTACTCATTTCTTCAACAAGCACTTACTGAATAATGACATATTGTGTGCCAAGTACTTTTCAAGACATAGGCAATACAATGATGAGTATGACACAGCTTCTAACTTTAAGGATAATTTATTATTTCCCTAAGTTGAGGCTGCTATGACCACATTGTGATATACTGTATCTAATCAGAAGCAGTTTCAGATACGAAAAGAAAGAAACCTGGTGGTTATCCAAAGTTTGGAATTCCCTACAGTACCTCAAATCCCTTTTTAATTCCCAAGCAGACACTGGTCTCTGCTTCAGCTGACATAGTGGTAGGAAGAAATGAAACTAGCAACTTGCGGTCGTCGATGTTCTTAATTTGATGTAGCTGGGCTCTGATCTCTCCTTTGCTATCAAAACTGGTGATGCCCACAAAAGTATGCATTTCAACAATCTGCATCAAGTAAAATTCTGCTGCCTGTTGCAAATGAAGAAATCTGTCTCCCTAGATCCCAAAAAGGAAAAAAAAAGAAACATTTGGTTGGCACACAAAAGTTTGATTAATTCATTCAGAAAATATCTCTTCTAATTTTTAGGAGTTGTTGTTGTGGTTGTTATGTGCCACTGAGTAACCCGAGACTCATAGCAACCCTATGTACAAGAGCCCTAAACCCTGCTCTGTACTTTGTCAATCTTATTGTCTCTGACACATCTGCCTCCATTACTCCGGTCACTGAATCAATCCATCTCATTGATGGTCTTCCTCTCCTGTGCTGTCCCTCCACCCTCCAAAGAATGATGTCCCTCTCCAAACACTGGTCCTGCCTTGCAACATGTCCAAAGTATGTCAGATGAAGCTTCAGAATCCTTGCCTCCAATGAATAGCCTTGTCTCACTCTCTCAAGGATGAACCTGTTTCTTCTTCTAGCAGTCCATGGTATATTTAATACTCTTCTCCAGCATCACAGCTCAAAGGCAACAATTTTCATTTTATCACTCCTACTCATTGTCTAGCCTTCTGATGCATAACAAGTAATTGCAAAGACTATGGCCTGTGTTTCATTGATTATGCAAAGGTGTTAGACTGTGTGGATCATAACAAACTGTGGCTGACTCTGAGAAGAATGGGAATATGAGAATACTTGATTGTGCTAATGTGAAACCTATACTTGGACCAAGAGGCAGTCATCAGAACAGATCAAGGAAACACTGCATGGTTCAAAATTGGGAAGGGCGTATGCCAGGGATGTGTCCTGTCTCCATATCTTTTCAACCTGTATAAAGAACAGATTATCCGGGAGGTTGGGTTCTATGAGAAGTGTGGTGTCAGGATTGGTGGAAGATCTATCAACAGTCTGTGTTATGCAGATGACACAACCCTGCTTGCTGAAACTGAGGAAGACCTGAAGCGCTTGCTGCAGAGGGTCAAGGACTGCAGTCTCCAACATGGATTGAGGCTCAATGTCAAGAAGACAAAGATTCTCACCACTGCACCAATTGGCAGCATCAGGATGGATGGTGAAGAGATTGAGATTGTTCACAGCTTTAGTTTGCTTGGATCCACAGTCAACACTCTCGGCACCAGTAGCCAGAAAATTAAAAGACGTATTGCCATGGTAAAGTCTGCTGTTCTGGACCTCTCCAAAGTACTGAAGAGCAATGGTGTCTCTCTGGAGACTAAGGTGCGTCTGAAACAGGCCATGGTCTTTGCTATCACTTGTTATGCATCAGAGAGTTGGACTAAGGAGTATATGAGGAGAATTGATGCCTTTGAGCTGTGGTGCTGGAGAAGAGTATTGAGGGGACCATGGACTGCTAGGAAAACACACAGATTCATCCTGGAAAGGGTCAAATCGGGTGGCTTCTTGCAGACAAAGATTCTGAGGCTCTGTCTAACATACTTTGGACACGTTCTAAGGAGGGACTGTTCCTTAGATAGGGACATCATGCTTGGTAGGGTGGACGGACAGTGCAGGAGGGGAAGGCCCTCTATGAGTCAGATTGATTCAGTGACTGGGGGAATTGGATGCGTGTATCAGAGACAGTGTGATTGGCACAGGACAGAGCAGAGTTTAGGGCTGTTGTACATAGGGTCGCTATGAGTCACAAGCGACTCGATGGCACACAACAACAACAACATTAACATGGCCTGTATTAGGCATCATAGTCTCCAGAGTGACATTGTTGCTCTTCAGTACTTTGGAGACTTCTTTAAAGAGGTAAAATACAATTCTTTAAGAGTATCAAAGAAAGACATAATGTGAGAATATTGTTCAATTAATTGTAAACACAAAACTCTCCTTTTTGGGAGGTGGGAGTTGAGAATTTGAAACTTTGTCTCCAAAAAATGGTTCATATTTATCACTTTCTAAGAACATATATAGAGAGCTCTAGTGGCTTAGTGGTGAGGATTTTTATTTCCAATCCAAAGGTATGAAGTGCTGATCTATCAGCTATACCACAAGAGAAAGATGAGCAATCTCTCATGTGATTTACTGCCTCTGAAAGATTGCTGATGGGTCAGCTATGGGTCTGTTCTGACTCGATGGTACAAGGCGGCAATAAAAACATGTATCAAATGTGGTGTTCATAGGGTTTTTATAAATAATAGTTGACTCAATGGCACCTAACAAGAACATGCATTGCCACTACTTCTTTCCATGAAAAAATTCAGAGGTTCTGCATAATACAATTCGGTATAGATAGGGACAAGTTCCAAAGGGACCTGGTGGTAGGGAGGAGTAGCAATCAGAGGATCCAATATCTATCTTGGCACTAGCTACTGTGATTATAGTAAAATTATGCTGGGTAGTTAATCTATAAAATAAGGATAATAATATCTTTCTTAACTATAATGCAACTGCTATAAAGAAATATCTATGTCAAAGTATAGTTACACAATAAAGTACTCACCATGTATAAAGCAGTAAAAGGGCACTTGCTTTGAATGTCATGGAAAGAGAAAAAGCAATAAGATATCTTCAATGGCCATTTGTTCATGGGTGACTTCTGTCTCTTTAGCTAACCTTCCATCTTCCTTACAATAAAGACCTGTATTTGGAGTCTCAAACTCTACACTTTCGATTATTGCTTCCTTTCTCAACTATTGTTTCTCATACTATGTTTAGAGGATAGTTGTGAAGGTAGTTAAAATGAAATCTTTGATTCTGGCATATAGAGTTACTAATTATGTGACCATTGAAAAAGTACTTTTTTATTTTTAAAATCCTAAATTTTCCCATCAGCAAAATAGACACCTAAGAAACACACTCAGTAAATTGTCATTATTATCATCATGGTACTCAAAGTATCATCCCCAAATGTGACTTCTACTCTAAATAAATAAAAATCTAACACTTTCTTTTCTAACCCAAACCTCATAACCTTGAATAAATAATTTCATTTTATATCTTCAATTTTTTTTTTCAGTTTCATGCATCTCTACCCTATCTCTGCTACTCCCTCAAACCCACCTATTATTGGTGTTGATATGTGTCTCCAAGCAGGCTGCAACTCGTAGCAACTCTAAGAACAGGGGACCTGAACCTTGACTTTTTCATGCCATCCTCACCATTTCTGATGTACTGGAGCCCATGGTTAGAGTCATCTTGTCAACCCACTTTGTAGAGGGTATTGTTGTTGTTAGGTGTCATTAAGTCAAATATGACATAGCGACCCTGTGAACAACAGATCTGAACCCTTTTCTATCATGCGTCATCCTCATCACTTCTGACAGACGTGAGCCCATTGCAGTAGTCACTGTGTCAATCCACTTGGTTGAGGATTTTTCACTTTTATTGACTCTCCACCTTTCCAAGCATGAGATCCCTTTCCAAGGATTAGCCTCACCTAACAACATGCTCAAAGTATGTGAGACAGAGCTTCGTCATCTTTGCTTTCAAAGCATTTTGACTGTACTTTTGCCAAGAAATAACTGGATTGTGTTTTGTGGTGTTTTTTTTTTCTTTCTTTTGGCAGCCTATGAAACATCCAATACTCTTTTCCAGCACCACAGCTCAAAGGTATCAATTATCTATCTGTTATCCTCATCCATTGCCTAGCTTTCAGAAGCATAGTAAGTTATTGAGAAAACCATGTCTGGAATCTAGCAAAGTTTAGTCTTCAAACTGACATCCTTGCCCTTCAGTAATTTGCAGAGGTTTCTAACAACAGACTTATCACTGCAATGTTTCCTGCTCTCCTGACTGGTAATAAACAAGAGTGTTGATTGTAGACCCAAGTATAGACCCAAGTAAGATGAGATCATTGAAATGACTATTTTCTCTGTCATGATGTTATCTATTGGTTCAAGTGATGAGAAAATTTTGTTTTCTTGATATTACGATAAAATCCATATTGATGTACTCAACATCTTGCTTCAACATTTAGCCTCAAAACTTACCCTTTCAGTGAATCCTTCCTTTTTTTTTTTTAACCACTCTCTTCTATAGCACTGGGGAGCTCTGGTGGTCTTTGATCTTCTGCAGCAGGCACTTCAAGTCCTCATCACTTTCAGCAAACAAGGTCATCTGCATAACACAGGTTGCTCTTGGGTCTTCCTCTCATCTTGATGCCATCTTTTTCTTCACAGATTCCAGCTTCTTGAGTGATTTGCTTAGCATGGACAAAGGACCTAACGCTTATGCACACCATTCTTAATTTTAAATCATGCATTGATTCCTTGATCTGTTTGATCAACACCTTATTGGTCAAATAGATATTTTGAATGAGCACAACTAAATGTTCCAGCATTCCCTTTCTTCTCAGTATTGGCTATAGTTTTTTATGATCCACACAGTCAAATGCCATTCCACAGTCAATAAAACACAGACAATCTTCTGACATTCTCTGCTTTCGGCAAGGATCCATCTGATATAAGCAATGATATTCCCGGTGCCATGTCCTCTTCTAAACCCAGCTCAAACTTCTGACTGTTTGCTTTCAATGTAATGCTCTAGCCATTTTTGGATGATCTTCAGCAATATTTTGCTTGTATGCAATATTAATGATATTGTTCAACAATCTTCACATTCCATTAAATCATCTTTCTTTGGGAATGGTAACAAACAGGGATCTTTTTCAGTCAGCCAGCCAGGCTGCTGTCCTCCACATTTCCTGAAAGAGACTGGTGAGCATGTCCACAGTTTCATGTTTTTATTGAAACATGCCAATTGGTTACTCATAAGTTCCTGAAGTCTTATTTTTGCTAATGTTTTTTGAAGTTTGAACTTCTCTCTTCATTACCACTGGCTCTTGATCATATGGCAATTCCTGAAATATTTGGACATTGATTATTTGTTTTTGAGACAGTGACTCTCTGTATTCACTCCATCTTCTTTTGTCACTTCCTAGATCATTCAACATTTTGTCCATAGCACTTCTTGATATTGGAACTTGAGGTTGAATTTAATTTTCAATTCTTTGAGCTACATAAATTCTGAGTGAGGGCTTTACCTGTCCCCCCCACTCCTTTAATTATCTAATTCAAGCTCTCTGCACATTGCATTAAAATGCTTTGCCTTGTCATCTCAGGTTGTTTTTTAAACTCTTCTGTCATTTTACTCTTTTACTTCAGTAAAGTCATATTAACAAACTTAATACCCTTAAACAAATCCTTCTAACTTTCCCTTCTAGCCATAACATATATTCTCTGGAATGCCATATCTCCTTTTCTGATCTCATTTCATCCAACCTAAGAATTATCTGGCAATTGACATACTTTGAGCATGTTGCTAGGAGAAGCTATTCATTGGAGAGAAACATTATGCTTGAGAAGGTAGAGGTCCCATGAAAGAAAGAAAGACCTTAACTGCAATAGTGGGCTCAAGTGTTTTAGATATTATGAGGATGGCACAGGACAGGACCAAGTTCAGATCTGTTGTTCATAGGGCCGCTATGAGTTGTATTCAATTCAATGGCACCTAAAAACAATAACCTACTCTTGCTTCAACATTTAGCTCAAAATTTACCCTTTTAGTGAAGAAATTTTTTTACCACTCTCTTCTATCTCACTAGGGAGCTCTGGTGCCCTTGTGATAAGGCATTGTTCTGATAACCCAAAGTCAGTTGATTCGAGCTCACTAGCTGTTCTGGTGGCTAAAGATGAACAATTTCCTCTTCTTTTACATATAGACTCTGAAAACTTGTTAGAGAGATACCTGTGAGTATCTACTTGGTCACAGTAACAACAAGAATTCTATAGCACTAGATTGTACCATAGCCATCTCACAGTTCTGTGGAGTGTTTGCCACATTGTATTTTGGTTACTCATATATTCTTGATGTACTGTCCTACTAGCTTTTCGAAGCAGAGCTCCTATCCTATAGCTATCTCTGTGTCACCCAGATCTGCACAGTGTATTTATTCATCTGATAAATGAATGGTAGCATTGGCAGGGAAAGGAAGGAGAAGTTGATTACTTTGAACTAATTTCCATTTCTTCTGGGTCTTCTCTCAAGTCCAGCTATCTTTCTCTTTATTGTTGTTGTTGCTAAATAGACAAAATAAATTATCTAGAGATCACATTAAAGATGACCATCTCAGGAACAGGTTTGAGGCCTTGAAAACCCACTGGGGGTGGGGAGCGGGGGAAGGTCAGCTATAGATCAGTTCTGACTCAACTATACACAACAAAAACAATGCTATAGTCTATTTATGTACACTGAAATTTTAATTTCATGTAATTTTCACACACTATAAAATCAAATAGTCTCCTGATGTTTCATAACCATTTAAAATGTCATTTTATTCTTAGCTTGTAGGCTGTAAAAAAGAATTGCATGGGTTAAGTTCTGTCCAAAGGCCATAGTTTGATAATATTGAGCACATATAATAGTGAAAAATAGCAGAAAATAACAAGGTTATGATGAATTTTATTACATATATATATTTAGTATGTTTTATTTAACTACTCGCTTTCATACTTTAAATTTTAGTAATTGCTGTATTTTGTGACTCTTGAGTTTCTTGTACATTTAATAGTCAACTTTCAGTGAGCCGGAATTAGCCAGTTCTATCATACCACTATAAGTAGGTATTCTTATTCTGTTTTACAAATAAGAAAACTGAGCTTTAGAGAGGCTAAGTACCTTGCTCTTGATTACATAAACGGTAAGGGAAGGAATTAGAATCCAAAGTATACCCAGCTGATGACAGGGACTAAATTCTGGAGCTTTAGAGAATATGTTTTTGGCATGCTGCTGGATGACTGGCTTATGATTTTCTGTACACAATGACATATGGAAAACATGTACATGATGGACATGAACAATCTTTACAATCTCGTGTCTATTGACTCTCCCAGCATGTTTGCAAGTGAAAGAAATGCAGCCAGACAGAAGCCCTCTGCTGCATGTCAGAGTTTTGGGAAAACCCCCTATATTTAAAAAGGGTAAAATTAGCAGCAAAAGTGAGGGCTAGTAGTCATCTGAGGATTTCGTGTATCTCTATTATCTCAATTTCTGTGCCACATTCTGACTTTGTTTCTTTTTTCTCTAAGGAAATAAGATGACATGATGAAAAATCTTTGGCTTCCTCCTCATCTCCTCAAAAAACCCATTAAGAATTGAAAACTATGAGACAAAACCAAAAGATAAGCAATCTTCTCAATTCAAAATGTTACCTTGGCCATGTTGCTGGATATGTCCAGAACTAAGCAGACCACCTTCTCGCCAGACTGAACAAGTGAGAACATGGGAGCTGGTGGCAACTCAGTTCCGCTCATGGGAATGCTGTTATCGAAGTCAACAGAGTCTGCGATTACATCCCAGGTACTTCTGAGGCTACATATTTGATTCTGTAGGTTTGGAGCTTCTTGATTGTGATTACTTGCATTGCAGAATTCAACCACCTGGAGAAAGAACAAAGCCTATTAAAAGTTTAATATTGGCACTCCTCCAATATTAAGTGAAGTTTCTCCTACTCAAGTAACTAAAAGTAAAGGAAGGTTGAGAAATCGGGAATCAAACATTCACAGTAATAGAATTCTTTACTTGAGAATGACATCACATTTACAAATACACTTTGGCACCTTTTGTTTGTAAAGTTAGCACTATTACACTACTGAGACCAATAAAGTTTATTTGCACTTGGATAACAGAGCAGACCAAATGTGTGTGTATATCTATCTATCTATCTTGGTCTAAGAAAAAGAACAGAATCTTACATCCTTCTCAACAGGACATTGCATTAATAAAACATACCAAACTTTTCACAGGAGAAATTTTGTAGGTCAACCTATTCCCTAGAATTTAAAGTCAACTGCACCTTTATTGATCGGTATATATATAAAATCAAATATTGATCCAACAGGAAAAGCCAACTTAAACCTACTTCCTGATCTTTCTCCTCATTCAGAAATACAGACATAACTCATGTATTCATAGTAAATCTGTAAGCATCCCCCTTAAAAGTACAGTTTGTATTGTGAAGGCAGTGGTACTATATATTCCCAGTAGCTACAACCCTACAGAGAGTAAATACTTCCTAATAAAACCATTGGAGTTCAGAGTTCTTGATTCCTTAGTACTGATTCTCTTGTCTCATGTCATAGGAAGGGAAGTTCACTCTTAAAGGTTAATAAATGTATAAGAATGTGAATTCATAATAGGACAAAAGTACTGTACATGGGTTGTTTGATTTGCTTTTTTTAATTGCCTTTTCTTTTTATATCATTACTGTATTTAAAAGATTGGGAAACTTTTCTGACCATACGTTAATAAGTATATCTTTAAACAATACAAGACATTGTTGTTCTTAGATCTCATCAAGTTGACTATAACTCATAACAGTCCTAAGAACAACGGGTCTGAATCCTACCCTATCATGTGCCATCTTCATCATTTGAGCTCATGAGTATAGTCACTGAGTCAATCAATCTTGTTGAGGATCTTCCTCTCCTTTGCTGACTCTCATTTTTCCACATGATGTCCTTTTCCTAAAGATGGCCCCTCCTAACAACATGGCCAAAATATGTGGTAAGAAGTTTTACCATTCCTCCCTCTAAGGAGTACCTTGACTGCACTCTCTCCAAGACTTATTATCTTAACAATACATAAGTGATTTAACACTCTTCTCCAGCACCACAACTCAAAGGCATTGATTCTTCTTCTGCCATCTTTTCTCACTGCCCAACTCTCAAATGCACAACAAGTAATTGAAAAGGCCATAGCTTGGATCAGCCACACCTTAGTTTGTAAAATCCCGTTCTTGCTCACTAAAGCATATGATCAATTATGCTGAGAATGAAAATTGAGGAATAAACGTGTTGCTTTCATAGTCAAAAAGACCATTTCGAGTTCTACCCTAAAGTACAATGCTGTGTGATAGGATATTATCCATACACCAGGAAGACCTTTTAATACAACTATTATTAAAATATGTACACCTTATTGATTCAAACCAATTATGAAGAAATCAAGGCTCTCTACCAACTTCTGCAATCTGAAATTGATCAAACATACACTCAAGATGCATTAGTACTAATCATGACTAGAATACAAAAGTTAGAAACTAAGAAGAGTAACTTAGTCAGAAATTAGAATCTTACTGACAGAGATATGGCTGGAGATAGAATGACTGAAGTTTGGTCTCACCTGATAGACTGCACAGGAATAATATTGACTATAGCTGTGGAAATAATAATTGGATAAGCTCAATATCAGCAGTCAAAACCAGATCAGGTGCTGACTGTGGGATAGATCATCAACTACTCATGTTGAAGTTCAAATTGAAGTCAAAGAAAATAAATCCACAAGAACCAAAATGTGAGTGTGAGCCTTTTCTGCCTGAAGTTGAGAGCCAAATCAAGAACAAGTTTCAGATGTTGAACACAAACAACCTAACACTAATTAAACTAATACATTTTGGGATGACATCCAAGGTGTCATCCACGAAGAAAACAAAGTCATTACAAAGACAGGGCAAAAGAAAAGACCAAAGTGGATGTGACAAGAGACTCTGAGAATTGCACTAGAATGTTGAGAGGCCAATCAATCCAAAGGGGAGGATTGTCATAGTGAGGGAGATGAACTTAAGTTTTCAATGGGCAACTTGAGAAGACAAAACAGTAGTATAATGGTATGTGCAAAGAATTGGAGTTAGAAAACAAGAAAAGAAGTCACTTGGATTCCCCAAGCTAAAAGAACTGAAAAATAAATTTAAGCTTTGAGTTGCTATACTGAAGGATACCATGGGCAAAATCCTGAATAACACACGGGGCAACAAAAGAGGATGGAAGAAATACACTGAGTTATTGTTCCAAACAGAATTGGCTGATTATAAGGTAGTATCTATTAAAAACAATAGGAACTAAGTAAGTGGAATTAAGTTGGCTTCGGATACTAAAGCTATACATTAAAGATACAAGGTGTATCTGATTCAAGCTATGGTCTTTCTGTTTACTTGCTATGCATCTGAGAGCTGGACAATGAATAAGGATGACAGATAAAGAATTGACACCTTTGAGATACAGTGTTAGCCAAGAACACCGAAAATTCCATGGATGGTCAAGAAAATGAACAGATATGTCTTGGAGAGTGTGCATCTGGAGTGCTCTTTGGAGGCAAGAAGGATGAGGCTTTGCCTCACATATTTCGGGCATGTGTTAGAAGGTGCTATTCCTTGGGGAAAGTTATGGCGCTGGGAAGGGTGGGGCGTCAGAAAAGGAGAGGAAGACCCTCAACTAGGTAGAGTGACATGGTGACTGCTGTAACGGGCTACTGTGTGTCAGGAAGTGTAAGAACGGTGCAGGACAGAACAGGGTTCAGATCTTTTGTTCCTTGGGGTCGCTATGTGTTGTACTCAACTCGACGGCATCTAACAACAAACAACAATAACTTACAGTAACAAAATGATTGCTAGTTTGACAAAATCTAGTTTGTGAATAATAATGTACTGAAAAAGAATGTGTTGGTTCACAAGGCAGTCGTCAAACATGATAGATAGCAAAAATAAAACTTTATGGAGGTTTTAGTTGGCAGTGACCATTCAATTCTCATTGGGAAAAAGTGATTCGTATAGGATTGGCCAAGTGTTTGTGAAGATAAATAAATGTATGTAGGAAGCCTGATGCTACTAAATCTCAGAATTATCTACCTACCTTTTTTTCTCTGATTCTACAAGCCCCGAGGAGGCTTCTAGTAGGAATTTTACTTTCTTTTGCCACTTCCTTCAGAAATTAAACTGGCCAGATAATGCAAATACTGGATCATCATGAAAGTTAGAGTATTCTTTTTATATTGAAAAATAAAAAAGCATTCTAGATTCACACATTAATATTTTGTCAGTTAGCAAGGAATATGCACAAGATTAAGTTCCTAAACTACGACACTGAAGGCTAGTTAACTTGTCTAGGTGATACCCAACCTTTCTTAAGTTCTAGAATCTGCAAAGGAAAGAAAAGGAATGAGATAATGCAATTTAATAAATTATATGAGGGGATTTATTGTCCCAAATGAGAAAAGTGTACTCATGTGCTGTAATCTTTCTCATTAACTCAAAAACTTTCCTGTGAAAAGAGATAAGTAATTCTATTTTGTGATCTTCAGAATTTCTTTGTTAAATCATCTTCACAGGAGAGCCAATAATCACTTTTCTAAAGAAAATAATAGTTTAGTCATCATCTTGGAGGCATCAAGTTTTTGTTTGTGTTGCTTTTTATGTGTAACATAAAAACTACACAAACTGTGGGTTTCCAAGTTCTAAAATGTGTTGTTTTATCTTAAAATAGTTAAAACTTATTAATCTATTTTGAGAATAAAACTATTGTAGGAGTTTGTCATCCCTTGGCAATACTTACAGAAGATAAACTTTGCATGAACATTATTGATGAAGTTGCCTTTTGGGTGCTATTATATAAAAACATGCAACCATCTTTGAAAAGATCACTAATAATGCAGTTTTCTTGTGGGCAAGGGCCTTTTTCACACACAAAAGTGCCTGCGATGTCAGATGAACACCTAAAATAGAAAAGGAAATTAGGCTTATTTTATAAATTGTCTTAGTGTTTCTTCTTTAGTAGATTATATTATCATCTGTTCCAGGAGTTATATCAGGGCAACTTTCTAAATACAGATAAACTACTTTTTAAACCATTAAATTTAGAAAACTCAGTAATTTAAAAATACACTTCACTGCATTTTTTAATTATAGTAAATATATAAGCAGCAAAGCTTTTGACATTCGTATAATCCTAATAGCTGGAGTATTGAGAGCATTTTTCATTGGTATAATTCAACAATACTATTTATATTGATCATGTTGTTCAATAATCATCAAGAATGGTTTCAATATTTTTCTATAACTCTAAAAAAGAAGCCTTATGTTACCTCAGCATTGTGTCTTCCTCTCTCCCTGCTCCTACTCATCTCCAATAATCACTGAGAGGCTTTGAGCTCTACACATTTGCCTGTTCTAGACATTTTGAGTAAGTTTTACCATACAGTATTTGATTTGAATAAAGGGATTATTTACTTCCAAGAATTAAATGAACTATTCAGGGTCAAAGCAAAGGAAATCAAGATCTTTTGGAGATACAAAGGGAACATGGGTGACAACAAACAAAGAAAGGAATGGACATATAATGATTATACATTACAGAGGGGATTCCTTTCTAAAATCAGCTACTTTAAAACATGATTTATAAACATGAAGAACAGTTCAACCATAAAAGAGAAATCTACTGATATCTACCAAGGCTGTGATTGAAGGTACCACTTAAGCCAATAATTCTTGCCATTATTATAATAGGACCATATATCTGCCAGAATACAAAAGAAATTAGATAGAGATAGAGATAGAGATATAGATACACATATACGTATATACATGCATATATGTGTGTGTGTGTGTGTATATATATATAGAGAGAGAGAGGGGGGGGGAGACAGAGAGAGTGAGTCATGTCCTACAAAATTGATAGGAATAAATGATTAAACAACTCATGTTGCTAAATATAGGAATTGGTTGAATAAATTATGATGTGTCAAACAATGGACTATTTGCTACTATGTAAAAGTTAATGGGGATCATATATATTTATTTAAATTTACCAGGAGAAAAACTTCAAAGATAATAAGAAACTAATAAAATTTATTACTTAGAGGGGAAAAAAGGATGGAGATAGTGATGAGTTAGAGACATTTTAAAGTATACAACTCTTTGACATCTGAACCACACAAAGCTATTCCATGTTCTTCAAATGCAGTTTCTTAAAAAAAAAAGAAAGCACTTTCTTCCTTATCAACTGAATTTGAAAGCTCAGTTGCCTCAATAATCTTAATTTTTAAATTCAAAGAATAAACAATGAATATTAAACATTATGGAAAAAGATACCAACCTTGTTACTTTAATCTGATTTTGTCCATCTATGTAGAGAGGTTTCTCATTGTTATATTCATCAAACACACCCCAACGGAAATGAGCCCATTCGTGGACAAACACTCTGCCTGTGGAAGAGAGAGAGAACTTGCTTTTGAATCTCAGTAGCAAGAGACTCTGCTAAACAATAAGGATGTTGTATCATTGTGTGTGTGTGTGTGTGTGTGTGTGTATGTTGTTGTTATTATTGCTGTCGAGTTGCCTGTGACCCATAGTGACCCTATGTACAACAGCCCTAATCCCTGCTCTATCCTGTGCCAATTTTATTATCCCTGGCACACTTACTCCCATTAACCCAGTCACTGAATCAATCAATCCATTTCATCGAGGGTCTTCCTCTCCTGTGCTGTCCCTTCACCATCCCAAGAATGACATCCCTCTCCAAGGATTGGTTCCTTCTTGCAACATGTCCAAAGTATGTCAGATGCAGCTTCAGAATCCTTGCCTCCAAGGAGCAGCCAGGTTTAACCCTCTCCAGGACAAACCTACTTGTTCTTTTAGCAGTCCATGGTGTATTCGATATTCTCCAGCACCACAGCTCAAAGGCATCAGTTCTATCATCCCCAGTCATTGTCCAGCTTTCTGATCCATAGCAAGTAATTGTAAAGACTATGGCCTAGATCAGGCACACCTTAGTCTCCATTGTACTTCTGTACTTCAGTATCTTAGTCTCTTCACCATCTGTCATGATGCTGTCAATCAGCTGAGTGGTGAGAATCTTTGTTTTCTTGATGTTGAGCTTCAAACCATATTGAAGGCTGCAGTCCTTGACTTTCTGCAGCAAGCTTCAGATTCTCCACAGTTTCAGCAGTGTTGTGTCATCTGCATAACACAGGTTGTTGATGAGTCTACCTCCAGTCCTGATGCCACACTTTCATCAATCCCAGCTTCCTGGATAATCTGTTCCACATATAGATTGAAAAGGTATGGTGATAGCTCACATCCCTGGAGTATACTCTTCCAAACTTTGAACCATGCAGTGTTTCCTTGCTCTTTTCTGATGACTGCTTCCGGGTCCAAGTATAGGTTTTGCATAAGCATTATCAAGTGTTCTAAGATTTCCATTCTTCTCAGAGTCAGCCAGTTTGTTATGATCCACACAGTCAAATGCCTTTGCAGAGTCAATGAAACACAGATAAACATTTTTTTGGTACTCTTTGTTTTTAGCCAAGATCCATCTAACATTAGCTATAATATTCCTAGTACCATGGCTCCTTCTAAACCCAGCCTGCACTTCTGGAAGTTCTCTGTTGATGTGTTGTGCCAGTTGGTTTTGGATAATCTTCAGTAGAATCATGGTTGCATGTGATATTAATGATATTGTTTGATAATTTCTGCACTCTGTTGGATCACCTTTCTTTGGAATGAGAACAAAGATAGATCTCTTCCAGTCAGTAGGCCAGGTGGTTGTCCTCCAGATTTCTTGACACAACTTGATTAGTACATCCAGGGAAGTGACTGTTGAAATATATCAGTTGGTATTGCCATCAATTCCTGAGGACTTTTTTTTTTTTTGGCCATTTTTTTTCAGAGCACCTTGTACTTCTTTCTTCATCAGCACAGGCTCTTACACATATGCTATTTCATGAAATAATTCTTTGTTCACCAAACCCTTTTGGTACAATGACTCTGTATACTCCTTCCATCTTCTTTTAATGCTCCCTGGATCATTTAATATTCTGCCCACAACATCTGTAAGTATTGCAATTTGAGGCTTGAATTTATTCTTCAGTTTCGTCAGCTTAAGAAATGCTGAATAAGTTTGGCCCCTTTGGTTTTCTGATTCCACCTCTTTGCACATTTCATTATAATACTTTAATTTCTCTCCCTGTGCTGCCCTTTGAAATCTTCTGTCCAATTCCTTAATATCTTGATATCTTCCCTTTGCTTTGGTGCTCTAGTGCATTATTCAGTCTCTTCTGACATCATCTTGGTCTTTTCTTTCTTACCTGTTTTTGTAATGACCTCTTGTATTCTTTCTGAATGATGTTCTTTATATCCTCCCACAGCTCATCTGGTCTTCACTCACTAGTGTTCAAGGCCTCCCACCTGTTCCTGAGCTGATTTTGAAATTCAGGTGGGATAGACTTAAGGTCCAATTTTGGTTCCTTTGGATTTAATTTCATTTTCCTTAGATTCAGCTTGAACTTGCTTATGAATAGTTTGGTGGTCTGTTCCACAATCAGCACTTGGCCTACTTTTTGAAGCTGATATTGAGCTTTTCCAGTGATTCTTTTCACTGATATAATAGATTTGATTCTTATGCATGATTCCTATGCATTCTTTTCCACCAGGTGAAATCTATGTGTATGGCTCGCTTTTACGTTTCTTATAAAACCTATTTGCAATGAACAAATCATTGGTTGTGCAAAATTCTATCATTCTATCTCCAACTTCATTTCTGTTACCAAGTCCACTTTTTTCGACCACTGACCTTTCTTCTCTCTTCTTAACTTTCTCATTCCAGTCACCCATTATTATTAATGTATCTTCATTTCATGTTCAATCAATCTCTGACTGCAAAAATTGGTAGAAATCTTCTATTTCCTCTTCTTTGGCTCTGGTTGTTGGTGCATATATTTGAATGATAGCAGTATTCACTGAACTTCCTTATATGTGTACGGATATTATTGTGTCATTCACAACATTGTATTTCAAGGTGGATCTAGAAATTATTTTTTTAAGTATGAAATCAACCCCATTTTTCCTCACCTTTTCATATCCAGCATAGTAGATCATATGATTGTCTGACTTAAAATGTCCCATGCCAGTCTATCTTATTTTGCCAGTACCTAGTATGTCAATATTTATGTGTTTCATTTCTTTATTAAATATATCTAATTTTCCTACATTCATGGTTCTCACATTCCATGTTCCAATGAAGTGTCTGCTTACAACTGTTCCTGTTCCTTTGCATTTCTATACTTGAGGCCTCAGCCTCAGTTGGCATATCTGCTAGTCTAAGTGCATTCTATTGTACATAGCGTTTTTGAAGACCTCCTATTTCGGAAGTGAATGGCCAATCCTTCTTCTGCCTGGTTTGTCTTAATTTGAATGTTCAGACTTAGATGTATAATTCACCTACTCATTCACTGCCTTAGAGTTGAAACTGACTCATAAGTGCAATTGCAGTCATTTTCAGAGGCTTGCCAGTTCACAATAACAACAATACAGTTTATATGGGAAAAGACTGATCATCTTTCTCCTGTGGGGCAGCTTGTGGATTACTTTCTTTTTCTTATTAGATTTTTTTTAAGTTTTCTACTAGGTTATTTAAAAAATTCAAATACAAATTTGAACAAATTCTTTCAATTTCCCTCACAACCAGCCCCTGATCAAATTGTACAACACAATGATTAATCCCCCCTTCCTCCTGCACATTCACATCCCTCTGCTTTCAGCCTTTCCCACCTTTCTGGATCCTTATACTCAATCTATAATAATGGTTTTATACAATATTTATCCTTATGGGACTGAGTTAGTTCACTCAGCATAATACTCTTCAGTCTCTCCCAAGTTAGGTAATAATTACCTGGCAATAAGAGAGATGCAAATCAAAACCACAATGAGGTACCATCTCACTCCAGTAAAAGTGGCAAAGTTTAACAGGGCAGCAAGTAATAGATGTTGGAGAGGACGCAG